TGAGCTTGGCTAGTACCCTGTTTATCTAGTTTATTTTTTCAAAGAACCAACTTTTGGTTTGATTGATTTTTGGACTGTTTTCCTAACTTCCATTTCATTTATTTCTGATTTGACTTTTATTATTTCCTGTCTTCCACTGGCTTTTGATTATTTTGTTCTTTTTTCTAGTTCTTTAAGGTGGGACATTAGGTTGTTTCTTTGAGTTATTTCTTGTTTCTGTATGTGAGCCCATATTGCAATATATTTTCCTCTTATAACTGCTTATAATGTGTCCCATAAGTTTTGGAGACTTTTGTCATTATTGTCGGTCTTTTCAACGTGTTTTTTAATTTCTTCTTTGATTTCCTCATTGATCCAATGGTCCTCCAGTAGTGTGGGTTACAGTCACCCCGTGGTAGCTGGGTTTCTTGCCTTCTTCATATGGCTTATTTCTAGCTTGATTTCTTCATGGTCAGAGAAAATAGTTGGTATGATTTTGATCATAGTTGATTGATGTTTATCTTGTGACCCAGTGTGTGGTCAACCCTAGATAATGATCCATGTGGATTTGAGAAAAATGTGTACTCTGATTTTTTTGGGTGCAGTATTCTATAGATGTCTGTTAGACCATGTTATCCAGGTCCTTGCTCAGAGCTTTAGTGTCTTTGCTTATTTTTTGTCTTGTCGATCTGCCCATTTTTGAGAGTAGCACATTGAAGTCTTCTACTATGTATGTATTTTCTCTGATATATATTTTCATAGATGAGAGTATTTTCCTGATATATTTTTTGCTCCTTCATTTGGTGATGATTGTTATGTTTTGTACTGTTCTCTTAATCATAATGCAGTGGCCTTCTATGTCTCTTTTAACCTTTTTAGTTTGAAGTCTATTTTGTCTGATATAAGTCTAGCTGTTCCTGCCTTCTTTTTTGGTTCATTTGCTTGTAGGGTTGTTTTCCATCCTTTTATTTTCAATCTGTTTTTATCTTTTGTAGCTAAATGTGTTTCCTGTAGACAGCAGAACATTGAGTTCAGTTTATCATGCTGATTCTGAATTCTTTATCTGGTAGGCTGAGCAGTTATTTTTTTTGGTGATTTCTGGTAACTGATCTTTTTGTGGTGAATTTTTCCTCTGTGGACTTGCTTGAGTATTTGTCTTCTTTTTCCTGTTGTGTATTTTCTAATTCTTTCTATTCATTGAAAAACGGTGTTGCTATTATTGGCCAGCATTCTTTCTGTTTGTTCTTTCTGGGATGGCAGATGGACTTCCAGACACTTCAGTTGTGGAGGGTCTTCTGGGGTGTGCTTTGTTTCAATATCTTCTGTTTTTCCAGCCCCTACTGTGTGGAATTTTGTCTGTCCTCTCAGCCAGTAACAGTCAAGGGTCTCTTGTGGTGTTCATCTTCTTCCAGCTTCTTCTGTGGAAGGTGCCTATTGATCTTTGTAGTCTTCTGATGTCCCAGATTCCTCTATGTTTGGATGGGCCTGTGTGGTGTGGGGTGCATTAGAAGTGTTGTAGTTCTCCCTGCAGCTGGGCCTGCCTTTGAGCCAGTCACTGGTTTTGTTTACTTTCTGAGCACTGTGAGCCTTGTAGGGCAGTGCCTTACTGGCTCCCAAGTCTTCACACCACTGCTGTGGGGGTGGGGGATGAGGGGCACGTGGAGCACAAGAAGGGCTGCACGTTTCCTAGCTGTGCAGGATGCCAGTTTTCCCTCTGTGCCTCCAGGGCTCTTTGTGTCCACTGCATGCAGTCTGTCCCTGAGCAGTCTTTCCGCTCTGCTTAGGGTGCACTCACAGAGCTGAGTTGTCTCTTTTTAACTCCAGGGCCATACTTCAGGTTTTGATGGTAGGTGCAGTAAGCAGTAGAGCAGTAGCAAGTCTCCTGTCTGAGGCACTTCTAGGTCCTCCCTATGCTAGGATGTGCCCATGGAGGGTCAGGGGATTGTTAAAAATTTGCCAGGATTGAGCCTGTTTTTGTTTTGGAACTCCCCCCCCC